TTCGTGTAAGTCTTGTTATCAAGTCTCGATGAACATTCCTCCTATCAAACATCGTTTGTTTCGTTCGTCAAGATCATCAGTTCATTTAATTTGAAACAAAGATTTTTTTAATGGACGCAATGAATGACTCGAAAACTGCTTCCTTCGTTTCTTCCACTTTCACTTCAATTCGAAACTCATTCGACTTGTCACGCGTCGCGTCGCCGGGCATCAAAATATAGTATCCGCACAATATAAATTGTTATTTTTATATTAAACGAAAATTAAATTAACAAGGTCATTCTGAAATCCAAGATGGGTATTATTTGAATAGGGACGACGCGAAGGTGCCGAAAATCGATGTACGATGCCATTTTGAAATCCAAGATGGTGACCATCGGGTTCAGGTAAAGTCTAAAATGGATATTTTCAGAACGTGAACCGATGCCGATAATCGATATTCGACGCTATTTTGGAATCCAATACGGTGGCCATCGGTTTTCAGAAAAGTGTCAAATACACTAAGATATGGGTATTTTCCGAACGGGAACAACGCGTTGATACGGAAATTGGATATCCGATGCCATGTTGTAATCCAATATGGACAATATGGTGGCGTCGGGTTAAAAAAAAGTGTCAAATACTCTACGATATGGGTATTTTCGGAACGGGGACGACACATAGATACCGAAAATCGATAATCGACGCTATTTTGGAATCCACCATCATCGGTTATCAGAAAACGTGTCAAATACCCTAAGATATGGGAATTTTCGGAACGTAGAACGAAAATCGTTATTCGATGCCTATTTGAAATCCAAGATGGTGACCATCGGTTTTCAGAAAAAGTGTCGAATACCCTACAATATGGGTATTTTCGGAACGGGACGACGATTCAAAGTCATTTTGGAATCCAAGATGGCGGCCATACGTTTTCAGAAAATGTGTCAAATACCCTAAGAAATGGATTTCTTCCGGAACGGGAACGACGCATAGATGCCGAAAATCCAATATGGCGGCCATCGGTTTTCAGAAAAGTGTCAAATACACTCAGATATGGGTATTTTCCGAACGAGAACAACGTGTTGATTGGGAAATTGGATATGCGATGCCATTTTGGAATCCAATATGGTGGCCATCGGGTTTCAAAAAAGTGTCAAATACCCTACGATATGGGTATTTTCGGAACAGGGATGACACGTAGATGCCGAAAATCGATATTCGACGCCATTTTGGAGACCAAGATGGTGGACATCGGGTTACAGAAAAAGTGTCAATATTGATCGGGATTTTACAGTATTTGTGAAATTGGAAGCCCTCATGGCGTCAAATATTGATTTCCAATCTGTAGACCACACCCCGATTTCAAAATTACCCATATTGATGGGTCGGCATGAGTATGATCCCCTTTTTTTCTGAAAACGGAAGCCTTTATCTTTGATTTCAAATTGGTGTCGAATATCGATTTTCATTCTCTATACGTCATCCCGATTCGAAAATACTTATATTGATGGATATTTGACAGTATATCCCACTTTTTCTTAAACTGAAAGCCGCCATATTGGATTTTAAAATGGCATCGCATATCGATTTTCGATGCGATTTGGGATGGTGTCAGTATTTCCAAATTTTTTTCTGAAGTCGGAAGCTGCCATATTGGATTTAAAAATGGCGTCGGTCATCGATTTCCAGCCTCTATACGTCCCCCGATTTCAAGAATATCCATATTGATAGGTAAACGAACCGCCCGACAATGATACATTTGACATCACGTGTACAGATCTATGCGCATGAACCGAGTGAACAATCAACAAAAGTCAGAAAACTGCGTGAATTTGGATCGAACAGCTTCGTTTCAATGCGAACGTAAGTTCATTTGACAATGAAAGAAGAGATGAACACGTGAGTCAAGCCAAAACAAACAGCATGAAAATTGATCGAAAGTAGTTCTGTTGATGTTGAAGGGAATCTGCTAGAAGAGAAGAAAGAATGACTTTCAACTGAAAGTGATGGTTGACAGCTTTGTCGTCGCTTGACGATTTTCGATTGAAAGTGACTTTGTGAGGCCCTGGAATTGGAGAACTGCGAAATAAATTCGAAAATGTCCAAAATCTACCAACATTTAAAAAAATCTACCATCAAACCGCTACATTTCGAAAACGGTGTGACTTCGCAACATTTTATATAAGTGCCTTTTTTATTATAAATTTGGTGTACTTTCAATACATCAAGTCGAAAAAATAATTGTGGGGGAGAGGTAGCTCATCGATTCTTCCGGTTCGCCTCCTAGCATCGTGCTATAAGGTACCAGGCGATAACCAGGGTAGTTGATCGATAGCTCGATGACGTCATTTCGTTGGCGTCTGCAATGGGAAATTCTCATAGCAGGCGTTGACGATGGGACGTTGTCGAGTTGTTGAATAGCAACTATCGTGGTAACTCACCGATTACCTGTCGATCTGCCAAATTTGGAAAGACGTCTGCATTGAATTGTCTCATATAATAATATTCCGCCCACTATATCACAAGAAATTGCGAGTAGCTGAGTGGAATGGAGATAAGTTAAGCATTGGGTACAGGACCAAGTCTCCCCTGGGTGGTGCCAAAAGATGAGCGCAATAGAATCATCAAGTTGCCATAAGGCACGGAATGAGACTATTGCATGGCTGGGTAGTCAAAGTCTTCCATTCGTTAGTCATTTCAGGTGGATTAGAACAGGTTTAGGTTTAGGGTGGGCGTTGGCCAGATTTGGATTTTTCAGATGTAATCCTGGGTCCCTGTCATTGAACGTCGCGTGAAAGTGGAACTTAATGAAGGCCTAAGTACTTTTTCGTAGTTTTTAGTTTTCGGATTTGAAAGATCGTCGGTTACAGTGGCCTGCTTACTGAGCAGAAAAACGCGGTCCCAGGTCCTTACATATCAAAGATATTTATGGTAAAATCGCTTGTGTATCGTGTATTTTGCGAAACTCGTTGTTGTCGTTGGTTCCGGGTTTGAATGGATACACAAATTTGAGCAACGGTATTATGTGATATGAGGGGCTCGGTGGCCTTAGAGCAACCGTTTTTGCTTACTGAGCAGAACATCATGAGTCTAATCTCAGGCCCATCCACAATCAAGATTCGTCAATCGTTTTATTTGTTAATATGACTACATGGTAATAACAGCAACTCGGTGATTAAAAAGGTGCTCGTCTGCCTAGTGGCAAACGTTTTTGCTTACTGAGCAGAAGACCGTGGGTTTAGTCCCAAGCTCCTTCGCGTTATATGATCGTTAGGACATCAATTCAGCTTATCGTTTACCAAAACGAACCCTGCTGCAAACCCAACCCTCTTATCCAACATCCCAGTGATTCCTCGTGGAAGTGCAGAGGTGTTCTCGGCTTCCATCAAAGCGAGTGTCATGTCAACACAATCCTTCCCATTCCTTTCTTGACCTGTGTTCGGGCGCGGCAGGCGCTGGTGTTGCCTAATTTAAGATCACCAGTTTTTACACATTGAGGATGATTGCTAGTCCCAAGCATCGTCTATTGGTTCTCTGTGTAATTACAGCTGGTCTGGCAGTAACAGAGTAGCAACCGTGGGCGGTCAATCAAGCTCAAGCTCAAGTCGAAAAAATAATTGAACCAAGTTTTGAATTATTTTCTAAAACATTACTTTTTTGTCCATAATTTCTTTATCTTGATAGATGCCATAGGTGGCATGAAATTCATTGTCCCTTAAAACATATAAAAAAACAACAACAACAAAACGTTTTTGAGAAAAAGGATTTTTAAGTTTTTTTTTGCGAACTATTTTTTTTTATTAGTTCCAGATGTGCCCTACAACATTTCCGAAGGTACCAAACCGATTGGACAAACATTTTTTGAGCAACAGTTTTCAGAAGATAAGCTTAACATTATTCTATGAGGAACGTTTCTAAAAATTGTTAGTCAAATCAAAAAATACGAACATGTGCCTATATATGACCACCCTATAACCACCATGAAGACTCGACATGCACCCAACTATTTTTTTTTTCTTTGGATTTGTCTTTTCAGACAGGCTAAGACCATGGTTGGTCCATCTCGCCGCACCCAACTATTTGTGAGGTGCATTTGTAGTATAGGCCTTCACTTTTGTTTTCTCTCTTACATGAATCGCAAAACATGGAACTTCTCGCAACATATCTACATGCACAATTTGTTTTGTATATGTGCAATAGTACCGTAATTCGCAGCAAATTGATCACCGGGTAAAATTGATCATACTACGATTATACCTCGTACTTTTAATTGTCACGTAGAACATTTTCACGGGAAATCTTAATAGTATTTCATCATGGGAATTGTCTGGGTGAGTTTTGCATACCAAAAAAATATATTTTATTCCATAAAATTCAATTTTATTCCATAAAATTCAATTTTATTAAGTTGACTTTCAGTAGCATACATTATCTTCATCCAAACAAACCATCATAAGTGTAACCCTACACGTTTGCTTTTATTGACAATATTCGTAATGTCAATACATTCTATTTTGACGTCAATACATCGATATTGGTAATAATTCTGTATTCACATCATCAAAATTACTGTCAATAATTCCCCTTCGCGTCAATATATTGATACGCGTCAATATATTGATACGCGTCAATATATTGATACGCTATATGGCATCAACAAGATGGCTGCACCTCGGAATCCTCTTTGATGCTCTCGCGCCTTGTAGCTGTGGAGTGGAACGATCTGGGTTGGCCACAGGTTGTTCGGCCAAGAACTCTGAACATTCACCACGTCGGTTTGATTGTCCAGAAATGTATCTCTATATTTACGTTAAAAAGTGATCAATTTGCCCTCGGATTACGGTTACGTTTGAATAAGTTTGTGAGCACGCTAGATTGTGTCAAGTAGTAATGGTATACGCGTAACCACCCCTACACACATATCAATGGAAAACAAAACATATCGAAACGATGCAACTAAATACATAAGTGAGAATTCATTGCATTAACTTTCCTCAGTAGCTACCCTCTCTAGAAGAAACAGTGTCTTGGACTGTTGTGCTCCTTCAAGTTTTCATTCTCTACTGTTCGCCGCGCAAGAAGGCAGCACCTACACGTTGGGTCTTTTTTTTTGCGAATGTATCTTCTCTCCAATCTTTACTGGTCCTATTTTTTTCTGTTTCGTGAGCGAAAATAAAAATTCTGCGGAATAGTGTTTAAAAATAACACATTCTCATGAAGTGATCTACCACCATCAGGCATTAGTCTAGTTCGGTTTGGGTAACTGGTAGTACCGGTTTTCGCGCAAGGGGATTTTTTGTGGAGTGATACATTTGGTTTCGTGTCAAATCGTCTGCAGTTTTCGTTTGCAGGCAGTGGTTTATGCGATACCTACATATTAATCAATTGGTGTTGTGATTGGTTGAGTGGCCAAAATCGGATTGGCAGAAAGGGAAATTATAGCCTTCAATTACGTGGTACGTGAATTCGCAGTAAAATTTCATAATTCGTGCAGCCAATATTAAGTGTGTCGTACGACGTCATTGTTATTACTTTGCATGAAGAATGCTGATCTGGGGCCAAAGTTGATAGCAAAATACTAGGTGAATAGATTGACGCATCTAGGAAGAGTGAGTCAACTGTACATCTGATTCAGTGCATTCAAATATAATCAATAAAACGTAAGTAATTGTAAACAACTGTTGTGTAAAGATTGATATTTGTTTTTAAAGCCCTTCAACAAAAGTATGGATATTTTGATGAGGTATTTTTTGGAGGAAATAGATTCATGGCGTATACTGATTTTACGAAAATCAAGCACATCTGCTCTCGTTTTTATAGAAATCTCGATGAACATTTCAAATGGTCCTATCTGCTTTGATCGATTCTCTTCATCGACTTTCTCTTTTCATAATCACTGCTATGCAAACAGATTTCGCGCTAATTCTACCATATAGTTTGATAAAGGAGGTTCTTATCTATCGTCCAAAACGTCAAATACAACAGGGAAAGGTTTTGCAGCTAAGTTATTAACGAAAGAGAAAGTCGATGAAGAGAATCGATCAAAGCAGATAGGACCATTTGAAATGTTCATCGAGAAATGTATTAAGTTATGATCCTTTTTAATGGCATCTTAGAAGAAAATAATCCCATTTTTTTAATTCTTTAACTAAACAAATTTAGTAAAAACACAAATGCTGATAGATGGATTGCGTTTGGGGAGCTTAGTGTGTGAATACCAAAACCATCAAAATGTTCTATACATATTCATTTGAACTTGCCAACTGGACAAACCTGAATTTTAATTTGCGTTCATATAGATGTATGTGAGGTTTGATCAGTCAGTAAGAAGCACCATAGACGTAACTCTAAGACTAGTAGGCCCGAAGAAACGTGCTCAACTTTTTGGCTCAGCTCTGGTACTCTCTTCGGTCCCAAGCTGATCGATGCACCTCTCGAAACATAGGAAAATCCATGAGCCCCTCATTTTGTCTGTCAAACTTTCATAACGAATCAAAACAAACATAGTGTAGTACTAGAAATTCGACTAGAATGGGGTATGTTTATAGATGTAAAGGGACCAATAGGCTAGTCAAGTAGTGAGCCAATTTAAAATCGTTAGTTTCCACCGGTTGGAAGTACTGTGTGTGAACAATTCGCATTTTGTTTTACGATTTGATTATTTATTTAATGAAACGTTAATGAACGATTTTTAATTTATTGAAATCTAACATCAGCTGCAAGTTGACACCGGATTAAACCCGCATAAGCGCGAACCATAAATTGACCTTACCGATAATGGTTATAAATTGTTTATAATCCCTGCTAAACTTCAACTGAAATGGTTATGGAACTTTACATGAACGTTTAATGATAAAGTTTTAACCTTAAGTATTATAGTTTTTTGGAAGTGGACCTTACAAATAATGGGTTGTTAAGAACCATTACCATTCAAAATTCTTGATTTCTCCATACATTTTCGGAAAGAAAACTATACTTAAACCTTTTAACTTATGGTTTGAGAACATTAATGGTAATGGTTATGGTAACCAGTAAGGTCCATGAATGGTTTTGTAACATCGATAAACTTTATGTGGAATATATCGCGAATTGGTTGCCTGTAAATTACTGATTACCAATTCACGATATATTTCACGTAAAGTTGAGTGATAATACAAAACCATTAATGGACCTAACTGACTACCATAACCATAACCATTAATGTTCTCAAACCATAAGTAAAAACGTTCTAATATAGTTCTCTTTCCTAAAATGTATGGAGAAAACAAGAATTTGGAATGGTAATGGTTCTTAACAACCCATTATTTGTAAGGTCCGCTTCCAAAAAACTATAATACTTAAGGTTAAAACTTTATCATTAAACGTTCATGTAAAGTTCCATAACCATTTCAGTTGAAGTTTAGCAGGGATTATAAACAATTTGTAACCATTATCGGTAAGGTCATGTGATGGTTCGCGTTTATGCGGGAAGTTCATTTATGTTTTTTTAAGTAGAAAGTAGTGTGTCTAGAGGCACGAACGGAAGCTTGACGTAGGACCGCCAGTGGACGGAACAAATGGTGGCCACGCCAGTGCAAGTCGATGCCGACCGGACGACGGTGACCAAGTCATGCTGCCTGTTGCGGGAAGCCTTTCCTCCGGACGATGTGGGTGCTTTTGTCGTCGTCTCAGTGATGTCACATAGGGGAAATGGCTCTGATGTTGGCCTATGGGTCTAAGATTGGGCCCATCGCTAAAAGTCTGCTATTTATCAATTTTATCTAGATGCACGCGTCATTGGTATGGTACTAATGGATATTTTTGGTCGCTATTGAAAATTTAATCGATTGCTGAATTTATGTATGGGCCCAAATTAGGGGCATTTAGGCCGACATTACATCCACTATACAGATTTATTTGTAATGATACAGATTTTTCTCAAAATTTTGATACAAATATCTGATGATAGATACTTATTCACCTAGGGTGAAAAGTAACCTCCTTGGGAGTGAATAATGTTTTTTTTTTAAATTTTATTCAATATAGTCCCCTTTTGGCTCGATACACTTATTTCAGCGGTTTTCCAACTTCATGATCCCGTCCGAAAAGTAATTTTCCGGATTTGAATTTGATTTCTATATGGGGGTACACTTTGTGAAAACCGAAAATGGAACATGTGACAAATGAAGAAAGATTTTGAACGTTAATAACTCAGCTGCCCCTGGTCCAATTTCAATAATTTTATCACCAATCGATCAGAAATATAGCTACGCATCGATAACAATGCTTTTGAATGTTGGTTTTCAACAAGAAACTATTGAAAAACTGGTAAATGTCCAGCATTGTCCAAAGCGTTGAATTAACTAACAAATCCACCAATTACCTACATGCATATGCTGCTTCCCCAGCACAGTCGTCAGAGAATAGTAAGTAGACGAAACAAGTCGAAGTAGCATTCGCCTCCGATCCTCGGGCGCGTGCGAATAGGGAGGATGGAATTGCGTAATATTTTGAACACTCACCGCCATATTCAGAACCAAACGCAAATTTTTCGAGATAACCACCATCCGTCGTCTGGCTCGCCGTGGCTGACGTGTCTCCGGTCTGATTTAGGAGGTGTGCTGAAGGTGTTCCTGAAAAATGAGATGCTGTCACCTACACTAAACACGCCAAGCGTAAGCGGCCATGGATGTCATCTACGTTTTGAAGTGACAGAGACGCACTCTGTTTGGTTTCGGAGGTTAAATCATCACCAACTTTGGCAACAAAACGGCTCTTTTCAGGGAAACCAAGCTTATTGCAGTAAAGAGTAGGAATAGAATTCATCTGCCTGTTTGTCCATATTCAGAACCAACGACCACACAAAATGCTCATGTAATCAAACTGGAAGCAGGGGTACAAATTATTTTGATCAATCTTGATCAACTTTGATTCGCCACGGCCGGATATTTTCGATGGAAGAAGCAACAATCTAGCATCTAATTCGACGAAGACGGCAGGAAACATTTGTGAAGCCGAGATCTATTGAAAAGTGACGCGAGATTTGTTTTCCGTACTGAGCTCCAATTAATGCTACCGACGCCAGGGGGGCACCTGGACCCTACCAATCAACCCATCAACTAAACCGGGGACCAACGGCGTGATCAGAGATGTTATGCCTTAGATCATGCCGGTGGCACCGACTGAGATTGGACCCAGGCCTGCTGGGGTGAGAGGTAATCACGCTAACCACCGGTGCCGATATCTTTCAAGGTGATATCACGGCAAATGAGAACGACCCAAATTTGAGTTATCTCAGAAATAAGAAATAAAGTGCAGGAACTCAGCGATGAGTAAATTTGCCTCATGTTTTCCCAGGATTTCCAGGGAAAAATTCCCGAATTTGAGAAAAGTAAACAATGGATTCATTCAGTCTATTGGTACTATTCCGAGACTGAATAAAATTATCGTCAATTTCCTCATTTTCTGGCAGATTTTTTAGGTTTTCTACAGGAAACCATGAAACAAATTTACTCATAGCTGAGTTCCTGCACTTTTGGCGATTATGAGTGAACTAAACTCAAATTTGGGTCGTTCTCATTCGCCGTGTATGCAAAAGGAAAAGAACCAGTGTCGATACTTGATAGCAAACTACACATAATGGGAGGAGTCTGTAGCTTTTATACCACTTGGTTGCACATCATTCTGCTTTAACCTGAAAAGATATAAAAGAGCGCTGCTGTATCTGTATGGCATTAGCTTTTTGACGTAGAACTACGTCTTTGTCGACTATACTGGGGTGCAAGTCAAAAAATATGTGTGGTGAAGGAGTGTTAGGTTTTGAACGCTTGTAACTTTGTCATTTATAAATGAAATTAAAATCCAAATACGCCAATCGATAGGATATTACATTACAAACCTGTTGAAATAAATATTTTTCCAATTTTTCTGTAATTAAACTTTTGAAAATGTACAAATGATAATTTTATCACTGTTTTCATGAAATAAGCCTTTTTCGCAAACCCAGTCATCATAAACGAATACCACTTGGTTGCACATCATTCTGCTTGAATCTGAAAAGATATAAATCAGCGCTGGTCTCATGCCACTGCTCATTAACGCTTCGGACGGCGTGGCGCTTGGTCCTGCAGTAAGCAGGACCAAATCAGCAGCTTAAGGTGGATCACGGCGTGACCACAATGAGGAAAAGCACACACGCCCTTCACAACAATCTCTCGGCCCCCCCCTCAACAACCTCTCCTACCCTCCCCCACCATTAAACCTCTCCTACCCCCCCCCCCACCATGAAACCTCTCCTACCCCTCTCCCCATCATCAAACCCCTCCTACCCCTCCTCAAATACCTCTCCTAAACCCCCCCCCCCTCAAATACCTCTCCTAACCCCCCCCCCCTCAAATACCTCTCCTACCCCCCCCCCCCTCAAATACCTCTCCTAAACCCCCCCCCTCAAATACCTCTCCTACCCACCCCCCCTCAAATACCACTTCTAAAACCCCCCTCATCAATAACCCGAAAACGAGACAGACTTTAATGATCCCTTTTTTCCGGGAAATAAATTTTAAACATACCACAATCATTAGTAAAACCAAGTTTTACCAAATTTGAACAAAAAATTGCATTGAAGACATGTTTGATGACATTCAGTTGGTGAATTACACACAACTGACGGTAAAACATATCT